AATGTTTTCTGTGGCCTAAGCATTTTGGAGATATGGAGTCTTGAGGTGAAAAAAGGTGCATTGTTGTATCCCCATTTTGCTGGCTTAATTAAGCCTTAGTACGATGTGATAAGCTTAGTGTAGATAGGTTTTTCTATTAATGTGAAAGGAGGAAATTTAAGGATTGATGAAATTAATATGGGATGTATAATTTGACTCCAGGGGGATTCTAAAATGCATGAGTTTCGCTGCTTCTAGTGCAGCCCACGAGGCATTGGCGCTCGAGACCTCGCCTCGAGGCCTCTGCCTCGAGAGAGCTCAAGGCATGGGGGTCGACGAGGCGAGCATACTCGAGGCAAACCATCTTCCTCGCCTCGAACTGCTCGAAGTTTAGGCAATCATAGTATTAGTGGCATATATTCAGTAGGGTTGATATTTCCGATAGGAACATTAGAAGTTTTCCCTACATTTGCATACCAGTATCACAATAAATGCAATTTTGACAGATCTAAACATAGTAATTATCTGCCTCGAGCCAGCTCGAGCACCTCGAGGCATCACCCCTCTTTGCATGAGCAAGCAAAGGCATAGACCATACGCGGCAGAGGCACCTCGAGGCACTTGCCTCTACTCGCCTCGAGCATCCTCGTGAATCACACGCTGCTGCTTCTAAGGGGACCAAGAAAGTGCCATTTAAAAAGATGACATAAGATCCAATCTTATTATCACAGGAAGGGCGGTTTCTTACCATTTCCCTGCTGACACCAAGTTCTAGTGACAGCAATGAGCACACGCAAGTTGTGACTCTTCGTTTAAGGGGGTCAAAAATCCTTTTCAGCAGAGTATTGAGTCCATACAGAACTTTTTCGGGGCTGAAAACCCCGTTACTGTCACATCGAGAGAAATGTTGGTTGCCAAGACCCGTATGGCTTCACAAGTTCTCACTCGATAGCCCAACACCCACAGGTGAACACGCGGCGGCAGGCTCCAATGCTTTCACTTGGTATATAGGCGTTAAAAATGTTGCAAATCCATCCCGTAACTCAAAGCTGGTTATTAATGCAACTTAAGCTTATATACCCTGGCAGTTTATGGATCTGCGGGTCGGTAGCTTTAAATTCAAATTTCATGGTTACCAGACCCTGTTGTCCCGGAGGCCGAATTAACGAATTCGAACCCCGACACCGTCATAGACCCTGTGATTGCTCTGATCTTTGAAATAAACCGGTGACGTGCATGCATGCTGCAAAACCTACCCCCTCAGTCGGAGCTGCAGACACTCTCAAGACTATAAGGCGCCAGCAAGCGGTTATCAATCACCCATGTCACAAAGTCTTCTTTGATGTCTGACCTTCATTCCCATCTTTTATTCCCCGATATTAAACGCAGCGGCAAAAGAAGCCCCTGACGAAGAAGCCTCGGGCTCCTATAGCTATAGTGCATACCCGCAACCTTAGATTCAAAACAAATACACCACCAATCAGGTATCAAGTACTACGTAACTTTTCCGATCCATAAAAGTGTTCACACATTGAAAATTTTGCTTTTTCAAGCCCCTCTTGGAGGCAATAAACTAGGAACTCTCTTCCGGACCCTAGGTTAATCGATGGTGTACAAAACCTGCAGATGCCGAAGTACATAACCGTCCTGTGACTGGATCGAAATACATAACATGAATTTCCTTCGTCTAATTCGTTGCGCACGGCACCCCCCCCCTGGACTGATAAATGCTTAAGGGTCTAAGGCGGGTGCCCATCGACCTCGATCCCAGGTTGATGGAAGATAGGAGGGTCGGCAAGGCAGCTAGTGAAACCGTCGACTCATAGTAAAGATGAAAGTGATAGGTCTGATTGGAGATAGGCGGGGACTTGGGCGTGAAGTGTTGGGTAGAATGAAGATATCCAGTGCACATGCTACTTGTCTCACGCCCATGCCATGTGTTCGAAGGATAACCGTAGTTAGGCTCGAAGCCATCAGGGCCTGGCTCCATATGATGGGCTTCTGCTAAAAATTCGATAGTTTCTATATTCCCAACTGTGGAAATATGATGCATGTTCTAACTCTTGTCTGAACAGCACTCTGGTGAGTAAACAATAAAGTTCAAGCGGTACCACCAAACCAGTCATATGATCATATCATACAAAAGGGGGTGAAGCTCTTGGTATATCGTTATCGACCAGCAAGGCTGACGTGTCCACGAAAATCACATATGTGGCATTCCTTAGATTGTTTCTTCGTATTTCACCAAAACATTGGTATGCTCTTGCACGGTTCAGGGAGGCGATCTCACAAGGTATTAACTTTGTTAGAACTAGAGTACCTGTATCTCTACCATGTGCAGCTAGGCAATCATGCAAAATCACTCGGTTTAGATCTACCGGTGTTCTTCGATAGCTATATTTACGCGCCTTTAAGGAAGAGCACGTGTAGAATTAGAACTTCAGATATACGGGTACGAGACGTCCCTTTAAATAGATTCTAAATAATACATGTAGTCAATAAGCGCAAATAAAAATTGTTTTAGTCGGCGCTAGATATGAGCGGAGTGTTCAGGAAAACCTATAAGTGTGTACATGTAGCTTTTTGAACTAGGATCTCCATTGCGAGTGCGCTATGACATCGTCAGCACAAACATTGTTCGTACTGTTGCTACGGTCAAAATCTGTAGCTCGTATTTAATGGGCAGCGCGGCAAGAGGATAAGCAACTAGTTGAATCACTCGTGGCGCAGTGAATGGTCGGCATCCATTCAAGAGGAATCCAGGTCAATGGCGGCAATGAGATTGGGAGTGGGATTCTGATTTTATGAGCCATCCTAGAAAGAAGATTGTCTGCAACTATTATAGCCGCGTCGATGATCCACGGGAGGTGCTCCGGTAACCCTGACGGTACATACGCAGTAAAATGGGAACAAATCTACTTCACGATTTCGTCAGTTGCCAACCTCACCCAAATCAGATATTGTTGCAGGGCTACAAAAAGCAAATAAGAAAGATCTTATCATCATGCTCTCCTCAGAACGCCTTACCTACTAAGGTTACTTGTCCAAATTTGGTGTGAGTACTAAGTTCACCTAACCCACAATTAACCAACTGCCCCTCGTTCATCAAAGCTTGTTTCTACCGCACTATCCTACCATACACGAATTCGGTGAAATGGAGCAAGGCAGACTGGGTACTTTAGCCCCTGATGGTTGATTAGTCTAGGATGTGCACACTTTTCAGGAACAGCTATTTCTCCAATTCTTTTTATAACATGATGCTGTATACGTAAGTCAAAAACCGTTGATTGACTCATGAAGATTCAGATGCATAATGCTTTTTCTTTATCGAGATATTTTAGAAATACGGTTGTTTGATAGGTCTACTTTTTATCACCGTTAGTTATGCGTGCATCTACGAATATATTGGAAAACGAGTTGTTTGAGGATTTGATAACATGCATTAATTCTCATAACATATCGCGGTCTGTAAAGCAGTATTCGCTCATCGTTTTGAGGTGAAAAGATCGAGGATACTGAAATATGCAGCACAGTGATTCTATCGAAGATTCTCTGTACCTACATGCAAATGTGCAACTGCGTAAAGCAAGCACTACGCCACTATTCTCTCCTGGCGTGGGGATTGGTAAAGACGTAGGCGATAGGATAGGTTTGTGGACTGTCTGCCTCTCTTGAGAATGTGCACATTAGTAAAATAGAAAACCTTAGCGAGTACGAACAACGCCAAGATGGCCACTCGGAGACTCCGACCAACAAGCCTCACTACGTTAGTACGCTTAGCGCTAGGTTAGACCTTTTTTTTTTTTTTCTTAAGGACCCGGGAGAATTTACTCCCGGTAAGATTAACCTTAATTCTCCTATGACGCCAAGAAGATACACAAATGCTTTCCATGCTTCTCGAAACTGTGAGGAGAGTTGGTTTAGGGCGGTTTTTGGTATTTTTTTTACATAAAAAAACGCTATTGCGGTGCCCGGAGCTCCGCTATCTAATAAATGAACGCGTCATCCTTGCTCCAGTACTTTAAGCATGATACGTACCAAGATGTTCTAAATGCCCTTGCTTTGCTCTCTTGAACAAAGAAAGTGGTGCTGTGTAACCTGTCACGATTAAACACAGCCCTGTACGACGGCGTAGCCCTCAGTCGGTTAAACGAAAGGTGAGGTGAGGTTAAAAGAGATGGGTGGTGTTTCGGGACGTCTGAGTTTCCTAACAGGGAGATGTACTGGGATTCACGCGGGCTACCTGAGCCGCGATCCTGCTAGTAGTTTATTATCAGGGTGCATCGTCAAGAGAGTCACCATCTCCCTTCACCTTCATACTTTACTTCGGAAAATTAAAAGGAACGATGTACATCTGTAAGTTACTCTGTAACAGCTAGTTACGTTTGATCGGTTATAACTACATGTAGATCATATCTAGAGTACAATAAGCACACGGACTAATATTCAAGCAGTATCATAGGGATCACAGCCTACGAGAATCACTTAACGTAGCATCAAATTCCTGGTCACTCATTTCATCCACAGCATCATCCATTACATACACGCCTCTTCGTCCCTTGACACCCAAGCCTAGCAGGGCTTGTTACGGAACCACTTCCGTTGGATGCCAATGCTGTGATTGATTGATTCTCAAGGCCAATTCATTTCATACGCTCGTTGTTAACTTCTTAACCTTCTTCCTCTCCTCCCCCCATTACTTTCATTCTCCGCTCCCACCAGAGGAAGATAGGATTGCCATATAGCCGGCCTATTGTCCAATCAGACACTGCAAAAGAGCTGCGTCAGCAGGTCAGTGCCTACCCCAATCTCTACGCCTTGGGATAGCAAGGCTTCTTCGTGTGCAACTGTCTGAGATTCATGCTTTATATATCAACTGGCTCCCCACATTCGTTTTTGACTTCTGGATCTGGCTAGCAACCAAAGTTTGATATCACTCGTTTTCAAAAACTAACAACAAACAATTAACTAGCTATTTATTGTCGAAATCCTTCAGATCTCCTTGATCGCCACCGGTCACCATGTTGGGTCGACAGGTATTCACCTTGCACAAAAAGACCCTCCGAATAACGCTCCTTCGGCGATGGTTCTCAACCTTCTTTCGTGCATTTCTTCTCCCGGTTATCTTCACCGCATTCATCTCCTATGCTCGTAATTTATTCATTCCACCAGCTACGTACGGTGTCGGTACGCCTGCACATGTGAGAGACCTGAGCAACGCTCTCTCGGCCCACCCGGATCTCAAGCTTGTCTTTGTCACCAACGATCTCGGAGGAGAGGTGCAAGACCTAGTTGATGGATTACTTACGCCACTTAGAAGTGCGGGAAGAAATGTTGTAACGATCAGTGATCCATTGAGAGGTCTGCAACAGGAGTGCAAACAGAGTCTCCGCGGTTCCTCGGACTGTTTTGCTGCTGTGGTTTTCAATGGATCTCCGGAGCGAGGTGGAATTTGGAATTATACCCTTAGAGGGGACTCATCCTTTGACTACGGGAGGATTAATACTGAGAACCATGATAATCCTGCACAAGAGTAGGTTTCCTCCTCGGAGGTGTGGACAGGGTTAGGGTTGATATAATATGCTAATGATTTGGAATAGATTTCTACTCCCACTTCAGCTAGCGCTTGATAAAGCTATTGCTAGCCGGGCTAACTCAGGGAGCGCTGATAACGTGCAAATAGATGAGTACATGTATACCGACATGACTTCTGAGGAGCGAGATGAGCAAATTCGTGTCCGGTAAGGATTATTTGTACTGCTATATTATGGATAAAAGCTGATCATGCCTTAGTTACATGACTGCTATCACCGACTATATTTCAATCGCCATTTTTCTCAGTCATGTTGGTATCATCTACCACCATACTGGGTTCCAGGCCACGGAGCGGGAACGCGGTATTTCTACCCTTCTCGAAGCAATGGGTGTTTCCAAAGCTGCCCGTCTGATATCCTACCATCTGTCGTTTTCATCACTCTATATCGCTGGTTGGGTAGTCATGGGTTTTACAATCGGAAATGGTGTGTTTGCGAATACAAATATTGGAATAATTATTGTATGGTATCTCCTCACGGGATGGGCTTGCGCATCATGGTCAATATTCGCCTCATCGTTCTTCAAGCGCGCTCAACTCTCGGGAATATCAACAACCATCGTAACTCTTATCTTTGGTATCATCGCACAGGTTCTGAACAAGTCTTCTACTGGGGCTGTTGCAGTGCTTGGTTTGCTGTTTCCTTCATGCAATTTCGTGTTCATGGCTGTACTACTGGGTCGATTTGAGAAAGAGCGTCAGGGAGCATCGTTACTTCGGGCACCACCTAACCAGGAATCAAACCTGCCCGGTATTGCCCTGTTTGTATTTCTGATCGTTCAAGGCATTGGCTATATAATCCTTGGAGCTCTGGTTGAGAAATCGCTCTATAGCACTAGCGGTAGCGACCATAAGCCTACAACTGATCCAGCTAATGCTGTCGAGTTGAGAGGGTTCACAAAACGATACGTCCCAAGTTTCATCGGTAACATCCTCTCGGGTGGGAGGAAAGAGACTGTTACAGCGGTTGATAGACTTGACCTGAATATCCGCCAAGGACAAGTTCTCGTGCTCCTTGGTGCTAATGGATCTGGGAAGACCACCACTCTTGAGGCCATTTCCGGTTTATCCAAGGTCACGGAAGGTGAAATCTTGATTAATGCCGGTGGCAATGGTCATATAGGAATCTGTCCTCAAAAGAACGTGTTCTGGGACGAACTTACAGTTGAAGAGCATGTGCGATACTGGAACAAACTTAAATCATCAGGCGACACGAAAGAGGAACTTGCACGACTTATTGCTGAATGTGACCTAACACCAAAGAAGCGAGCCTTCAGTCGAAACCTGTCGGGCGGTCAGAAAAGGAAATTGCAACTCGCGATTATGTTTACTGGTGGCTCAAACATCTGCGCTATTGATGAAGTGTCATCTGGTCTTGATCCTCTGAGTAGGAGGAAGATTTGGGATATCATTCTTCGTGCACGGGGCGAGAGGACAATTATTCTTACTACGCACTTTTTGGACGAGGCTGATCTGCTGGCTGATGATATTGCGGTACTGAGTCGTGGGACATTGAAGTGCCGCGGTAGTGCTGTGGAGCTTAAAAATCGCCTTGGGGGTGGATATAGAGTTCATCTTCCAACTTGTGATGGTCCAGAACTAGAAGGTGTTCCAACAAAAAGATTATACGACCAAACTGTCTACAACGTTCCCGATTCTTCTGCAGCTGGTAGAGTTGTGGATGCACTCGAAGCCCAAGGGACAGTAGATTATACTGTCAATGGGCCAACAATCGAAGATGTCTTCTTGAAAGTTGCAGAGGAAACAAGTGGACTTCAAAAAGACGCAAAAGAGGCTCAAGGCGAGGGAGATGATGGAGTGGAGCTGTTCCCTGGGAAGAGACTTGGCATCGTTAAACAAACCTTCGTTATGTTTCGCAAAAGACTCACTATTCTTCGGAGAAATTATTTTCCGATTTTCGCAGCAACAGTGATACCAATCATAGCGGTTGGGGTGACTATGATCTTTCTGAAGGGTTATGATCGGGCCACTTGCTCAAATGCGGATACTATTTCCCGCGGTGATACCTACAGCCTGACCTTTGATGTCGATCTCAACATCGTTCTAGGCCCCCGTGAAGCAATTTCGGGTTTCAATATATCAAGTTATATCGAGGGGGATTCCTCCTCCTCTAATGGGATAACCGTAACTTTCAACGATGCAAATATCAGCTTTGTCAATACATTTCCCGACTTTACCCAGTATATTCGGACCAATTATTCGGATGTTAGCCCTGGAGGATTTTTCATAAACAACAACAGTGATACACAGGCTACCTATGCTTACCTGGGGAACAGAGGCATTAGAAATTCAATGATTGTACAAAACGTTGTGAACAATCTGGTATTTGGACAGCGAGTTTCAGCTAGTTACGCAGAGTTTGATATTCCGTGGAGACCGGAACAGGGATTGACACTCCAATTTCTAGTGTAATTCCCTCCTTTGCGCTTAGATTCAAGTGCCTACATGTATGCTAACTTAGGGTAACTTTACAGTTATACCGGTCTTGTTTTTTCCGTATTTCCAGCATTTTTCGCGCTTTACCCGACCCTCGAACGTATTCGAAATGTTCGCGCATTACATTATTCCAATGGTGTCAGGGCTTTACCATTGTGGCTTGCATATCTCCTCTTTGATTTCGTCTTTATTCTCATCGTAAGCGTTATCGCAAGTATCATTATGGTAACTTCTACTGGGGATATTTGGTATAACTTCGGATATCTATTTTTGGTGATTGTGTTGTATGGGATTGCAAGTATACTCTTGGCATATAATGTGTCTTTGGTGGCGAAGAGTCAATTGAGTGCGTTCGCATTTGTTGCCGGTGGTCAAGGTTAGTGTTCCCACTTGCACGACGACGGGCGATGATTTTTAACTCGCGATACTTGTAGCTGTGATGTTCTTGCTCTACTTCATCGCGGTGATGTCAGTTTTCACCTATGCGCCGACCTCAAAAATCGATGAGCAGTTGAACATTGTGCACTTTGCGATTGCGGCTATCTCACCAATTTCAAACTTTACCCGCGCGGTTTTTGTTGCGCTGAACATCTTCTCTGTCTCCTGTCGTGGAGAACAGTATGCAGGCAACCCTGGCGGAATGACACTCTATGGTGGTCCAATTACCTATCTCATCTTACAGTCTATCTTCCTCTTTTGCACGCTTCTCTGGTGGGATAGTGGCCGTTTTAGACTCCGATTTGGATCACGTACAGTCAAAACAAAAGATGCCAACGAGGAAGAACAAGAAGTAGGTACTCTTGGAGGTGAAAAGAAATTCATCGGTGATGAAATGAGACGAGTGGACTCGTCAAATGATGGACTACGTGTTATGCATATTACCAAAACGTTTGGGAAGAAAGTAACTGCTGTCGACGATGTTACTTTTGGTGTGCCCCGAGGAGAGGTATTTGCGCTTCTTGGACCTAACGGCGCAGGGAAAACCACTACTATCAACATGATTCGTGGCGACATGGTCCCTAATACTGGTGATATCTTTGTTGAGAATATCTCTGTTACCGGAAATCGTCCCGCTGCTAGGTCGCATCTCGGTGTGTGTCCGCAATTCGATGCTATGGATCGTATGACTGTCGAAGAGCATCTCCGCTTCTATGCACGTGTTCGTGGCGTTGAGGATGTTGAGCACAATGTCGCGCAGGTTATAAAGGCTGTTGGACTCGAGGCATTTAAGAAACGAATGGCAGAAAACCTGTCTGGTGGTAATAAGCGGAAACTCTCTCTTGGTATCGCGTTGATGGGCAATCCGACCGTTCTTCTTCTTGATGAGCCCTCTTCCGGTATGGATGCTGCTAGCAAACGTATAATGTGGAAGACTCTCGCTGGTGTAACTCGCGGCCGGTCTCTTGTACTCACTACCCACTCCATGGAAGAAGCCGATGCCCTCGCCTCTCGAGCTGGTATCCTTGCAAAGAGCATGCTTGCCATGGGAACTGGAGATCAGCTACGCCGAAGATGGGGTGATGGATATCATGTTCACCTTGTCCTAAGATCCGCACCCGCGAGCACACCTGAGGAAATGGAGAGGCTCAAGGGTTGGGTTCTGACAAGATTTACAGGCGCCAGGGTTGAGGATAGGAGTTTCCATGGGCAGATGAGGTTCTCTGTGCCAATTGATGCGGAGGAAGATGAGGCGGAAGCTGACGATGAGGGAGTTGAAGGAATGGCGAGGAAAGGAAATTCTAGGGGAGTTAATAGGGTCTTCAAGGCGTTGGAGAAGGGCAAGGAAGGATTAGGGCTGGAATTTTATAGTGTCAGCCAGAGTACACTTGGTATGTTTCCTCTTCTTTCCCAATTGATGAATATGACGGCTAATGAATTTTCTAGACCAAGTATTTTTGACAATTGTTGGTAATGCGAATGTTTCAGAAGAGGGTTACGGAAAGCCAGAGAAGAAGAGGTGGTGGAAAAGCTCTTAAGTTATTAGCTTAAGTCGCTCCCTTTTGTTTCCTTTGTAGTCGATTTCTTTTTACGACCCTGTATCTTTATAGTTTGTTTCTCATTTCTTATGTAGAATGAGCCTATCAAGCGGACATACCTATTGTTTCAGTTTCTGGTAATTATGAAGGGTTTATAGATGTATTCACGGGGACGATATATGAATGAGATATATACCTATATAGACGAAATTCACTCCTATGTTTGAAGATTATGCTTTGAGAAAAAATATTCGTTGTTATATTTGCTCATACGAACCATTTACCCCTTAGACCATTAGGTCTGGAGATAATATGATATTTAAACCTGATAGGGAAGTCATGATATGAAACCTATAGGATTGATCAATCACTCCTCCTGATCGATCTTCCACTAATTCTAGATGTGATCCGTGACAGGTCAACTAGCCATGGACACTTTTGTGCGGTTTTTATATCACAATTTCCGCATCCGGTCAAGTGACACATTTATGATTAGGCCGTCAGGCGTAAGAATAATCATATTTCGACATGGAGTGGAAAGATAATTCGGCTGCGATAGTAAAGCTTGTTCTAATTATTCCACGGTTACTTTTTGGGGCGAGGAGACAGACCTGTAAAGTAGGAAAGACGCTCTTCCTCGCGTAGAACTGCCTTGTGCTTATAATAAGTAGACGTTTATCTATGTCTATATGGGTATTTCAGTATTATGATGTAGTTATTATCGCCCCCCCGTCTTTGTTGATACCATCCTTCACCCTATACTCTGCATCGAGGCGAGGCGGCAATGCGGCAAGTCGTAGACAGGGAAACGCCAAGATATCTGACGAGTGATAATCCATGGCTTGGATCCCGGCCTGCCATGCAACAGAATTGCAGCCTTCGACATGACGGGGAATTAACTCATCAACTGATGTACACAATACTTAATAATCTTTAGAATCTCCCATGTTAGAAACAACATTACCACCTCCAGCTAATATGTGTGCACGATCGGATATCCGGGTTTCAAAAACTAATCACCAGTAGGCACGCCGGAGCCCGGGAAGGTATCCACCATGCTATCGGCTAGATACATGTATATAGCATAGGACGATAGGCCTTGAAATCATGGGATCGGCAATAAATTCTGCATATTCCACCGTTAGCAAGGATGTGTGTTGACAAAACATGGTGGTGGAATGTGCTTGCGCCCCGTATCTGCAGTCGGTCCCTGGATTACATGCCCCTGGGGTTTGGGGGCCAAGTGAGGTGGTGGCCTGATTGGGAGTTTCATGGGGTGTAGCTATCTACTTCTTGGCATGGTTAAGCTTTTTGCGATGCTTGTATTATAGCCGTAATAAGCAGGTGTACCAACATTTATTCAACCCCAAGCCATCTGGCTTTCTGGTGTGCAAGTACTTGGTTTGGTACCAGTAAGCCACCAGATGAAAATATGGGGTAATACAGAGCTTTTACGTTGGATACATGTAACCTGGTGCAAATTCAGCAGTTTCTGCAGAGGTGATGGATACCCAGTGTCGTAGATGTTTTGTAGTTAATATATAAAACGACTATCACATACATGTAGTAAACGTTTGTACTACCACCTTCGCTTCAAACTGTATCGATATTGGTCCCCCCAGAGGGAAAGCGACGATCCTTCGACATGAAGTTGCCGTTATCCAAACGCCCGCAGCTCGGAGCGCAGGACCGCAGAAGTTCCGCTTGTAAGTATGGCCGACGCGTACATAGTGTGATCCTGGTACTCATTTATGGTACCTCAGCTGTCAAACGAAGGAGTGTAGAGATATCAGGCTAATCGGCAAGTACTTAGTTCAAACCATGGATTCGAAAGCTTTATATATTCCGTACCTCCCCCCATATCCTATCTCCATCACTACAGCTTCAAGTCTCAACTAAGCCATACATTCAACCAAGCCATATACTCAACCAAGCTATACATCCATAATGCATTTCCTCTCTCTCGCTCTCGCCTTGGGTGCTTTCTATATCCAAACTGCTCAAGCAGCCCCGGCCCCTACCGAAGCACCCTCCCCTACAATCACCAGCCCTCCCAGTACCACCACCTTCACCTCCACCGCCACTTGCAGCTTCAGTCGCTGTGTTGATTACATCGACTCCTGCGGCCACACCTACGGCGGGTGTTTCCTCGATCCACAGTGTGGAGGCACAATCCCGGTATTCCACCCACCGAATTGCCCAGTCACAGATGCTACTGTTGAGCCCACTTCCGTAACTACAACACTGGCATGAGCACTCAAAAGACTATCAAGGTAAGATTATGGAATCAGTCAGACCCACGGATATTATTTGCTGATGGTTTGATAGGACGAATATGAAACCTCCTGTGATAACTGGTTGAGTGAGCTCTTTGGTTTTGGTCCGAGACTTTCTTGTTGGCGCGTTCGAATATCAAGTCAATTACTGTGGTGGTAAATAGAAACGAAACGAAATAAAATGAATTTGACATGAATGTGTAACTTAATCTCATCCAACCCTTCTTCCTTGGGTGGAATAGAATCCACTTCATAGAATCTCTTTTATCTCGCACGGTGATATTCAAGCCGGAGTGTTAGCTAGGCATCCAGGGTCGAGCTATTCTTGTGGGCCATAAATTGAACAAATTCATGTGAGACTCTTGTATGACTATGACTTCCCGAGATGGTTATAGTGAAAAGTTCAGAGAGCTACAGTAGTGAGAGTTTGGAAGCGGAGGAGGGGGTGTGTTTACAGTGATACGGCATTCTATGAGGATTTCAAACCCTTCGTTTAGCAAAGTTAATCGTATCAACACATATAGTACGTACTGTGTATCACTAGTGCAGTACAACGGTATGGTGTCACATGTAGTACATTCCGGGGCAATGTCATCCGTCTTTCGAATTTCGATTCCGGTACTGCAAATGTAATGCATCTACATACATGTAATAGCAAACCTGTATAGAGCTCCCATCCGAGTCCAAGCCTGAATCCAAATTCTATTGTGTACATATTTATGTCCAAAGTATAAACTGGCCGGCCATGTGCGACGAATGTGACATTACATATACCCATACGGGCTGATGAGTGTGATCATAGACTATCACTCGCCAAAAGATGCCGAATGCTGAAGTGTCGTCGACGTGAAATCAAGCATTAGCATTGCCGGTAACCGCAAAGAGATTACCGGCTGAAGCTTGGAACTGAAGCTAGTTGCCTCTCTGCGCTCGAAGACCAGAGGTGAAATAGGATTATCATCCATTCGTTTGGTTTCTACACGTAGCAAATATAGCGGTGGCACTGTTTTTCTTAGGAATAATTTCTAGATTCTCGCTTTCACTGACTTGTCGGCACGTTGCTAGGAATTAATTACACAAGCTCATGTCGGTTGTCCGGTCTGTTAAATTTTGTTAGAGATGAGTTTGGAACATAGAAAACATCAATAGAGCGGATTATAATACCTAGCTGTAGAAGCACATGTACTTCATATATAGCTAAAAATACATGTATATACACTGCCTGGACGTAAATCATCGCTGCGAAGCAAAACCACACCAAAAAACGCCAAAACCACATGTGCAGCCATTTTCAAATAGCCCCAGAACCCACTATTTTAAGATATAACTTATACCAATCAGTAAAGGTTAGGAGAATCATCTGGTAGTATTAAATTCCAAAAATATTCATTGTAGCATGGATGGCAGAACATTTTGTTCGGTTGTTCTCAGAAAATGTGCCAAGACCTCGAATTTGTATGGGGTCTTGGCAAAATTTGGCCAAATCCCAAATTAAAAGCCACAACTTCCCACATATTTGATGAAAAGAATTATAGCTCAGAGCATATGTTCTTTTAAAGTACCTATATTACTATCCTGAAAGTTTCATGGTGTTTAGATGACAATTGAAGCCTAGGGAGGTGGCCAATTTTGGTGTGTTTTGGCGCGAAAACGATGATTTACGTCCAAGAACTGTATATAAATATCTCAAAACTCACCCCACCGCCACAACCCACAGTGTCAAGCGTAAAGGTCAATTTCACTGATCAAGCAAAAAATCTCTGAGGTATCTCCCATTCTATATATACATGCATGTGCGCTTCTTCATTTCACCGTATATCCCATATCTTTCGCCTCCTGTATGCAATAAATCTTGGCGGATACAACCGAGGATCCGGGTCTAAATATTCGATAGACGCCTTACAGATTTCACGATCAAACGAGGCTTGGCGCTTGTCTTCCGCCGCTACGCTAATACAGGCACAACGTTAATGTTAATTACCTAAGGTCTCATTATCAAAGATAGATACATGTAAGGACGAAAGCAATAAGCGCCCAAATACGGTGGCTTGAGACTCTACATGAGAAAATAGCTTTCAGGGGTTTCAGGCGAGATGAAGAGCGAGATGAAGAGCGAGACTTAGTTGTCTATGCTCATTGCTGATCACTAGGAAGCTTTTAAGGTTGAAGCCCGTGAAGACAATTGTACAAAGGAATATGCATCTAGCAATTGTTTGAAGTAAATTAATTAAATGTATGTATATGAGGCTTAAATCGTAAGGCCTAGGCTGAGCGGCACGGACTCAGCTCCGTCTTGTATTCTACAAGCACATATATGGATGCAGAAGGTACTTATCCAAGGAACGGAATTTTTGACAACTGCCTATATCTACATGTATTCTCATAATTATTATATAAATCTATTCCAAGAGCCTCAAAGTTTCATGTCTTTGCGGCACATTGATTTTGATTATAAAGCTGGGTTGAAAGAGGCTTAGAAGCAAGGCCCATGCATGTCGCGCAACTGGCGACGGAGCAGCCCCGCTTCCATCTTATCCCACGCAGCTACCTCTCTGCCTCAGGCAATTATTCGAGATTCAATTTTTATAAGATTGAACCCGCTGATTCGCGAGCTCTAACTTAACCTCACTACGTCCCCTCCACGTCTAGCTACCACCACAGAAAGTAGAAAGATAGGACTCCTTCCCGCACGCACCTATGACCGGTTTTCATGTAAGGCAACTTCATGATGCGCTACGAAACATCGTCGTCAAGAACGCTGCATGGCGAGAGTTCATACCCGAGGGGGAATTCTACAAGTTGATGACACCGGACACTATAAGACACGTATTTAACGAGATTGTTCATGATAACTTACAGCCCAACCGTGAGCAGTCAGATCCAGAACCAATACGACTCTCTAACCCACCACATCAACCAGAAGCCCGGAAGCGAAGTTCATTTCATTTCATCGACTATAAGAGGCTTCCAGATGTCTATGGTAACCGGAAGATTCTTGCACTTTTGGTGTTTATTGGGAGGGAGAAATATATCATGAGCTTCCTGAACCGCGGACGCGGAGATATGAGCCTCCCGCTCTCTCCAAGTCAGCTGAGGGATATCGATCCCCACCTCGAGAACTCTGATTTCTTGGATAAGCAATATTCTTTTCTCGCGATCCGATTCTATAAGGGAATAGAAAGGGAGTTTGGCGACCAGTGGATACTACCATTCATCAAAGACCAGCCGATAAATAAAGCGAAGGGCGCATTTGGAAGAATATACGAAGTCGAGATCCACTCGGACTATTATGACTCCGATATGGTTTCCTTTTGGAGAGGCGAGAAGGTAATGGTATATTCTTCCACATACAAAGGATTGAGGAGCTTATGTCTGAGGATAGCCTATTTTCGCTCGCAAAGAGCTAGTGCTTGATGACATCACGGACAGCATGTTATTCGAACTTGAAAAGAATGCGTTGAAGATTCTCCACTCAAGACATCCAAATATCGTGCCCTTATTGGGAAGCTACAAATACAAAGATAAATACAACTTTATATTTCCTCGAGCTGATTGCGATCTGGATATGTATTTTCAACGCGGAACCCCTCCACAAACGCCTAGAGAGATGTACGACCTTTTTACAGAGATATCAAAGCTCGTATCGGCTCTAGATACAATCCACGATTGTAAAATTACTTTTGACCTGGACGAGGGCTATGATGTTTCCCAGATTGGATATCATAGAGATCTCAAGCCAAAAAATATTTTGAAAATGGGAGATATCTTCATGATCTCAGATCTTGGCTTAGCTATATTCAAGGAGCAGGGCCCTGTCTCAAATACCGAATGGATATTGGGAGAGTCTACATATTACGCACCAGAGTGCAAGGCAAATGGTAAAGCTGGGCGTTTATCGGATATCTGGTCATTGGGCTGTATATTCAGTGAAGTGGTAACATTTGCACTTCGTGGGGCAACAGGTATTCACGAATTTTGGCTGAAGAGGAAACAGTCTTACGTCGATGGCATCAGCTTGGACTATTTTTACAAAGATGATACAGTCTGTAAAGGCGTCCTAGAATGGTTCGATGAGTTAAGGCTATACGCGGAGCACGACCCATTTATTGTCGAAATATTGGGCCTTATTGAAGAGATGTTAACTCCGGCCCAACGACGCCCGCGCGCCAATGCCGTGGATGAAAAGTTCTCACGTATCTTAGAAAAAGAAAGGAAGAGAAAGGGTTACGAAGAACCTACCCCTAGGGCAGTTTTCACTGACCCCGGAGACCCGCGAGATCCTCGAGAACTCCGGAGCCCTCGCAAAGAATTTGTCATTAGCCGTGATATCACCGAGATCCCGGAGCAAACCCAAGCTTATCTTCCACCAACACCACCAGAACCTTTATCTCTGCCATCAGATCAACCAAGTCCTATCCAGTCGATAGTGAGTCCCATGCTGAGCAATTTAATTCAGGGGAATCGAAGCCAAAGCCCAGAGAGAAAACACACCCTCATGGTGAATAGCTCGCAAATTAATGGGTCAGACTCGGGGGAGGAGCGTTCATCGACACCTCAAGGTCTCCGCATTTACAATCTTGACATACAAGATTCTAGATATAGGGACCAACCGAAGACCACTGGGCCACCACCGCTTATCTATAAAGTGCCTGGGTTCGTTAAAAAGAGTCTCAAAGGGAAAAACCCTTTCGGTTACTTGAAAGAATTCGATACAGTAAGTTTAACACCCCTCACATCCTTGTCCAGTTAGGGATGACTTACGATATACAGGTATTTTTGATCGACAACTCCGAGTCTATGAGTAACCACTGGAATGATGTTGCGCTAGCTCTTTACCGATTCATTGATCTTGCATCCCACTACGACACTGATGGGGTGGATCTCTATTTCACCGACTCTGAAATTTCCGTCACTAAAGCCAAAACGAAAAAAGTATATGAAACGTTTCAATCGGTCAAACCTATTGGATCATCGCCT